AAATCGTATTAATCGTATTAAAAAAAAGTGAGTCAGCTATGCATTCTTCCAGACTATCAACATATATACCAAATTTCATCTAAATCCGTTTAGCCGTTTAGCCTACAAAATCTAACAAACATCAATCCATCTAAACTTTCGCATTTATAATATTTGTATGATGTATAATGTAAACGATAGTGTGCGTTTGCTCGCAACTTCATCCGCGTAAAATTAAAAAAAAAAAACATAGCCTATGTTACTCAGGAATAACTTTTAAATTGGGGAAAGCCGTTTAGACGTTTAAGCTACTAACTCTCACAAACATCCATCCATCTAAACTTTCACATTTATATTATTATGTTTTGAACACGAGAGCTTTTTAAAACTGTACGTACGTATAATTAAAACATCAAATATTAATCCGCCCAGTATAGTCACGTGGAGTGGCGTTTTAATTAAAATTTTCACGTTACATTATCAAATTAACAAGGTGCAAAATTACTTTCTATGACTACAAAGGTATCGAGTTTATATTGGAAGATATAGTATGACAACGATGAAAATTCACAAAATATACGTAAATTCTATGGTGAAAAAAAAAGCAAATACTGGAAGAGATAATTCCACAGCCTGTTGTGCTTCGTACTAATATTATAAATGCGAAAGTTTAGATGGACGGATGTTTGTTAGAGTATGAAGCCTAAACGGCTGAACGGATTTCAATGAAATTTGGCACCAACGGAGAGGCTGGAAAGAACACATAGGCCACTCACTTTTTTTTTAATTCTACGCGGACGGAGTGGCGTGCAAAAGATAGTGTTAAAATAATTAACAAACATTGTTAAGAAGCTTAGTTTTAGTATACCTTTCGTATTTAGCATGAAGTGTTAAATAAATGAACATTTTAAAATAATGCTTTTTTATCTATATACTAACTGTTCCCGTGCGGCTTCATTCTCATGAAATTACAAGAACTTTAAATTATTGTTTACATTAGCAAATGTCAAGATTCAAATGGCAACGAAGACCTTTGACATTGAATACCAATTACAGTACCATGGCCATATTGCTTCCTAGATGTGGGCTGTTTGTAGTTAATGGCCTTTCACATGAAAGATTTTTCAAATTTATTTACCCCCTAAAATATATAGCCTAAAGCGGTTAAAGTTAAGGGCTTTTTATAAAAGAAAGAATTATTCAAAATTTATGTGATTGCTGACATCTTACCTCATGAAGTAGTGTGTTTACGCTTTATTATATTAGTATAGAAGTATCGTGCCTCGTGTCGGAGGTCAAGACCCACTTAGGGTCGCTGCGCCAACGCAGTAAGTAAGTATAGATGAATCGTATAGTACGGTGTTGGTGTGTGGCTCACTTTACAATCAATAATGCCTTGACTCCATTTGTTACGTCAATTATTCATAGTAGGAAAACAATGTTGGAAGCTTGTGACAAAATGTATTTAAAAGTAACCGTTGATTTTTGTATAATAACCATGATTATTCTCAAATAAACGGATCCAGTTTTCTGAAACTGAATAACGTACATAAAATATCAATTTCTATTCAATTGTATCAACTATTTGCTCGAATCTCGATACGAGATACTTTCACAATTGTAGTATCAAATGTATTTTGTAAAAAAAATATTCGATTTTGCTATTATTATTGTCATCGCTATATTCTCTACACTATATTCATTACAAGAACTGTCCCCTAAATTAGTTAACATGTTAATAATAATTTTAGTTAAGTTCGAATAAAACTATTTAAGCCGATGCGTGATTATTTCGTCACTACGATACCCGTCTATTAAGTACGGTATTTACCTTCATACAAATTTAATTCGATACTTCATTTATTAAAGTAATCTATCTTACTCGTATTTAGACAAACTTTATCCCACAATTGTGAGATTGTCGATTAAAAATCGAGTATAGTTTGTCGTGTCCTTGTGTATGAAATATCGAATTCAATTTGTATGAAGGCAAATGCCGTACTTAATAGACAAGTATCGTAGTGACGACACAAACACGCATAGCGAACAATTATGAACTATCGATATTCGGTTTAAATATTTATCGAACTCAACTAAAATTATTATTTTCTTATTGACTAATTTAGAGGACAATTCTAGCATCGATTATAGTGTAGAAAATTTAGGGATGACAGAAATAATAGCGAAATCCAATTCGATTGCGTACGGCTGTAGTAGTAATAAACATTTATTTACTCTCATTATTTTTTATGGTCGTTATTAATTTGAGAAAACATTGTTTTTTTTTTTAAATTCATAAGTTATAACTATGAATCTATCGATTCCAACTTCCATAATAAAAATCGAAAATCGATAAGATTCATGACTGATTTCACCCAACCCATCCCTACTAAATTTGTAAAGAATTGTCAAACTAATCTAAATTATTTAGACACACTATAGTGTGCACACCTATACTATAAGATAGGAATCAAAGCGAGACTAAACAGTTTTGCGATAGTTTAGTTTCAGGAGCGCACGCTCTAAGAGTCAGGCGTCTTGATAATCTTATTTAAACTATCAAATATCTTTTAAGCGATAGATAAAATAGGGAATAATCGAAATACGCTCCAAAAGTCTGTAGGTATGCGAAAAGTAATATTGTCTGTGAGACGGAAATTTATTTGAGAATCTGTGCCAAACGAATGCGGCACGATTTCATCAAACGCTACTTTGTTTTCGTCGAGTTTTATTAAAGAAAGAATAGACATAAAAAACCGTCGCGAACTTTAATTTATTTGAACGACAAAGGGGTACATTTTTTATAAGAGAAGGAGGCACGA